CCCTTGAGTCACTTACTTTTGACCTCTGAACTCTGCATCACTTACTCCTGACCCTTGAACTCTGCATTACTACTGACTTTAGTCACCTACTACTGACCTTTGAACTCTGTGTCACTTACTACAGAGATCAGAGGTCAAAAATAAGTGATGCAGAGTTCAGAGGTCAGTAATGACACAGAGTGCAGTAGTAAGTGGCCCTGTGTCTCACAGTCCAACCAGCCCCACTCTGCACTGCCTACCTCTGTCCTCCTTTCTGGACTCTTCACAGTTCTCAGGGTACGCCAGCTCTGGCTCTTCTCCCATTCTCTTATTCCCTTGTCCAGTACACAGGGCTAAATTGCAGCTTTCCATAGCCCTACCTACTGGACCAGAGAATAGGAGAAGAGCCAGAGCTGCAGTACCCCAAGTACTTGGTGGAGTCTAGGGAAGAAGGATAACAGAGACAAGCAACTCCCCTTTCTCCGTCTCTGCTGCAGCTGCACTTGTCACTGGTAGCTGCAGCAGAAACACTGTTTACGCTGGGGAGGGGGCAGTAAGGGAACAGGGCTATGATTGGCTTACCAATCATAGCTCTGGCTCCCTCACTCCCCATGTCAGCCTTTAGCACCTGCCCCTTTCGTGGCTTAAACAGTGTTTCTGCTGCAGCTGCCTGTGAAGAGCTTAGCTACAGCAGAAACAAAGAAGGGGGGACGGAGTGGCATTTCCCAACATTTGTTGTGCACAGTGGTCCCCACATGCCTTGGGCCCATATGCACTGCACACAGAGGATATGCCCCTGGAAGAGGAATATGTACAACTGTGCAAGCTGTACTTTTGTCTAAACATTTGCTAATCTACAGTGACTGAATGGGTGCCCACAGGCTGAGTAGGCTTTAACTCATGACTCCATGTATGGCTCAGGGGACTGGTGACTCAGTATGCAATTACAACCAATGTTAAAGAGATTTTTGTTAAACGGCTGTACAGAGTGGAGGAGGCCATGGCTCTAAAACTGAGGTATGTAAGCTGTAGTGATGAGTTGAATGTACCTTGCAAAAAAATATATAAAACTTTTTCCTTTAACAAATAAATAAAAATAAAACCAACATAAAAAACATAAAAATTGTCCAAAATATCAAAAAATAGTCCCCACAAGTGTAAATAATAGTTCTCTTTCTTCTTTCGTCAAAAAACTCCTTCTCAATACCCTCAAATCCTGATGACAGTACACCCTATATAAGAAACAACAGGGCATAACACCACTCTGGGTTAATTTCTCCTCATAACGATTTCATCCAGTACTAGGGTTTTTCTTCCATTATCCTCACAAGAAAATCCACAGTCACAGATAGTAGATAAAATATCCTCCTTTATTTGGTAACTCACATTAAAATTTCAGTGAAGCAGCTCCTCCTCACAGGGATACAAGTGTAGACAAATTCAGGGAAACATTGGCCACATGTTCCCACTTCCAAGATGGCCGCGATCGACCCTTCTGAAAAAGTCATACGAAGTGACGAAACGCGTCAGAAACAGGTGACGTCAGAGACGTATCGACGCTGACCAGAAGTGCGATCGCGGCCATCTTGGAAGTGGGAACATGTGGCCAATGTTTCCCTGAATTTGTCTACACTTGTATCCCTGTGAGGAGGAGCTGCTTCACTGAAATTTTAATGTGAGTTACCAAATAAAGGAGGATATTTTATCTACTATCTGTGACTGTGGATTTTCTTGTGAGGATAATGGAAGAAAAACCCTAGTACTGGATGAAATCGTTATGAGGAGAAATTAACCCAGAGTGGTGTTATGCCCTGTTGTTTCTTATATAGGGTGTACTGTCATCAGGATTTGAGGGTATTGAGAAGGAGTTTTTTGACGAAAGAAGAAAGAGAACTATTATTTACAATTGTGGGGACTATTTTTTTGAAATTTTGGACAATTTTTATGTTGGTTTTATTCTATTTTTATTTATTTGTTAAAGGGAAAAGTTTTATATATTTTTTTTGCTTAATTGGCCTTCAAGGGTGGAGGTGGATAACTTTTCTGGGATATTATAGGGTGATTTGTTGCTGTGTATAATATAATTGAATGTACCTTGGTTAGAATAAAGGAATATTCATCAAACTGTAAACAGGTGGCACACACACCTAGTGCATTATCCAAGGTTTATTCAAAGGTAAAGGATAAAAACATACAGATGAAGCATGTATCTAAAAAGCAGTTGCATTATGAAGATGGCCACAATGGCAAGGTGTTCCAACTGCTAGTGCGGTCAAATGGCTTACGCGTTTCGGGGACGAGTCCCTTTCCTCAGAGCTGCTGACCAGCCAGTATGAAGGTCAAGCGGTAAATAACCATGGCTAAATGCCTTGGGAGGAGAGCTCCAACTCTACTTGTTCTAGGGTGAGGAGTTGGAGGGGGTTATTTACAGTGCACTAGGTGTGTGCGCCACCTGTTTATTCTTTATCTAGTGGCTGATCTCCCCATCTGAGGAGGGCTGCACCCCTGAAGCATTTCCTTTGGTTGTCGCTGTCCTGGTTCCCTTGGCTTTGCATTTCCTGAGGCGCTGGAGAGTACATACGATATCCGGTTCATCAAACTGTGCTGAAATGCACATTTTTTATTATTATTATTATTATTATAATACAGGATTTATATAGCGCCAACAGTTTAACAGTTTGCGCAGCGCAACAGATATATAAATATGAACCCCAATAAAGCCAATAGAATCCATATCTTTAAAATCAATTTTGGCCATTTCCAAGATTATCAGGCAAAGGATTGTCAAACAAAGAGCACGGGAAATGGGAAATGGGGGGGGGGGGGGGGAGGGGGGAGATGTACTAATGGGGAAAAGATTTTTGAAAAATTAACGTACAATGATGAGAGAGTCTATTTGTCTTTTCATGCAAAGGGATGCCAGAAAGCTGTATGCAGTTTTACAGAATATTAAGATTTTCTAAGAAAGCATCAGCAACACTGTATTGTGGCAGCAATGTAAATTGCAGGTGTAATCATTGTGCTTGCTTTTACACAATTACTTGCCTTACATACAGCAGCAGCCCAATATGATTGATTTGCGATGGAAGAAGCAGACAAGAGAACTAAAATCTATCAAAAGCCTAAAAAAAAAAAAAAAAGCTGAAGCCATCAACTCTGTACCAAATGCAAACCAGGGACAAAACAGGTTTTATAGCATAGCTTGCAATTTGTAGTATACCATAGTGACACTGTACTACTCTGGGGGGGGGTGATCAGGGATTTTTTTTTTTACACTGTTACTGCTTTTAATAGTTAAGTTCACTGTTATAAGCAATAGTTTTAGCTGTCATGGATGGGTTAACAATCACGATGGCTTAGTACTGTTGACAAGCTCTGACTGTCAACAGCTAATTACATGCTAAAATTAGTATTAGGGAAGGAGGCATAAAATTGTGAAATTAAAGTGCCTTGAAAAAGTATTCATACCCCTTGAAATTTTCACATTTCGTCAGCACAGTGGCTAAATGGTTAGCGCTTCCGCCTGGTAGTACTAGGGTCGTTGGTTCAAATCCCAGCCATGGCACTACCTGCCTGAAGTTTGCATGTTCTCCCTGTGCCTGTGTGGGTTTCCTCTGGGTACTTCAGTTTCCTCCCACACCTCAAAGACATGCTGGTAGGTTAATTGGATCCTGTCTAATTTGTCCCTAGTATGTGTATGTATGAATGTAAGTTAGGGACCTTAGATTGTACGCCCCCTCACGGGACTGATGTGAATGTATAATATGTATGTTAAGCGCTGCATACATTGATGGCACTATATACGTACCTGTAATAAATAAATAATGTTAAAACCAAAACGTAAATGTATTTTATTAGGATTTTATGTGATAGACCAACACAAAGTGGCATATAATTGTGAAGTGGAAGGAAAATGATAAATGGTTTTCAAAATGTTTTACAAATAAATATGTGAAAAAGTGTGGCGGCATTTGTATTCAGCCCCCCGGAGTCAATACTTTGCAGAACAACCTTTCGCTGCAATTCCAGCTGCAAGTCTTTTTGGAGATGTCTCTACCAGCTTTGCACATATAGAGAGGGACATTTCTTCTTTGCAGAATCGCTCAAGCTCTGTCAGACTGGATGGAGAGTGTCTGTGAACAGCAATTTTCAAGTCTTGACACAGATTCTCCATTGGATTTAGGTCTGGACTGTGACTGGGCCATTCTAACACATGAATATGCTTTGATCTAAACCATTCCATTGTAGCTCTGGCTGGATGTTTCAGGTCGTTGTCCTGCTGGAAGGTGAACCTCCGCTCCAGTCTCAAGTCTTTTGCAGACTCTAACAGGTTTTCTTCTAAGGTTGCCTGTATTTGGCTCCATCCATCTCCCCATCAACTCTGACCAGCTTCCCTGTCCCTGCTGAAGAAAAGCATCCCCACAACATGGTGCTGCCACCACCATGTTTCACGGTGGGGATGATGTGTTCAGGGTGATGTGCAGGGTTAGTTTTCTGCCACACATAGCGTTTTGCTTTTAGGCCAAAAAGTTAAATTTTGGTCTCATCTGACCAGAGCACCTTCTTCCACGTTTGCTGAGTCCCCCATAAGGCTTCTCGCAAACTACAAACGGGACTTCTTTCAACAATGACTTTCTTTTCTTTTTCAGCATCTATCCAGGGGTATTCCTTGTATATGAGGGACAGGGAGGACAGAAGAAGAGGAGAGGTTGCTTGTATATCAAAAATGATTTGCAGTGCAGTGGGAAGTAGAATCCTTGTGGGTGGAACTCCAAAGGGAAGAGACAAGCTGGAAAATAATAGTGGGGGTATGCTAGAGGCCCCTTAACCACTTGCCTACCAGGCACTTATACCCCCTTATTTACCAGGCCAATTTTCAGCTTTCAGCGCTGCCGCACTTTGATTGACAATTGCGCGGTCATGCAACATTGTACCCATATGAAATTTTGATCATTTTTTTCTCACAAATAGAGCTTTCTTTTGGTGGTATTTAATCGCCACTGGGCGCTTTACTTTTTGCGCTATAAATAAAAAATTGCCAAAAATTAAAAAAAAAAAAAAAAAGTTTCTTTGTTTCTATTATAAAATTTTTCAAACAGGTAATTTTTCTCCTTCACTGATGTGCGTTGATGAGGCAGCACTGATGGGCACTGATGGGCACTGATGGGCACTGATAGGCAGCACTAAAGGGCACTGATAGGCAGCACTAATGAGGTGGCACGGATAGGCGGCACTGATAGGCAGCACTAATGAGGTGTCACGGATAGGCGGCACTAATATGCAGCACTGATAGGCGGCACTGATAGGTGACACTGATGATGGGTACTGATAGACGGCACTGACTGGCATCACTGCTGGGCACTGACTGGCGGCACTGACTGGCACAACCGCTGGGCACTGACTGGCGGCACTGACTGGCACAACCGCTGGGCTGCACTGGTGGGTGGCACTGGTGGGTGGGCACAGGTGGGTGGCACTGGTGGGTGGCACTGGTGGGCACAGGTGGGTGGCACTGCTGGGCACAGGTGGGTGGCACAGGTGGGTGGCACTGGTGGGCACAGGTGGGTGGCACTGCTGGGCACAGGTGGGTGGCACTGCTGGGGCACAGGTGTGTGACATTGCAGAGTGGCACAGGTGGGTGCACTGCTGGGCACAGGTGGGTGATCTGCTGAGCACAGGTGGGCGGAGCTAGTGGGCGCACTGCTGGGCACAGGTGGGCGGAACTTGCGGGTGGCACTGCTGGGCTGGGCACCGATCATCAATGCCCTGATGATCGGTGCCGATCCCCGCTGTGACAACTGCCGGTTCTCGGCAGTACTTTCCTCACGATCTGACAGCGTGAGGAAAGTGCAGCCGAGAACCGGCACTTGCATTTCCCTCTGATCAGCGTGTCATTGGACACCGCTGATCAGGTGGTAAAAGGCCGCTGTGATTGGCCTTTTACCACATCACGTGATCAGCTGTGTCCGTAGGACACAGCGATCACGGAGATCGCCGGGTGCGCGCCCCCTGGGGCGCGCAGGAGAGGGCGTTCTGGGGGGACGTCATATGACGTCCACTCAGAACTGGCCGGCCGCAGTGCAGCCGTCATTCGGCTATCTGCGGTCGGCAACAAGTTAAACTGAAGGATGGGGAGGAGTTGGATCTCTTGTCACAGTTAGAAATGGAAGCGAGGCAGGGCAATGTTATCATAATGGGAAACATCAACTATCCAGATATTGACTGGGCAGAAGGAACAGCTAGTTAATTTAAGGCTTGTCATTTCTTAAATGTCTTACAGGACAAAGCCATGTGCCAATTGGTCAATGCCCCGACTAGAAAGAATGCATTGCTAGATCTACTAATTGCAAATAACACAGATCAGGTCACAGATGTTGAAATACGGGACAGCTTGGGAACCAGCTATCAATAGATAATTACATTCAGCATAAACTATAGGAAGAGGAGGCACATGGGTAGTACAAACACTAAACTTTAAAAGAGCCAACTTTTATAAACTATGCTCAGCACTACAAGATATTAAATGGGAACATATCCTTATAACACTGAACACTAATCAAAAATGGGAATACTTTAGCAACATATTAAACTAGAAAAGGTACAATTTCTGGGGAAATTGTGTGAAGTGTTCTTGCATCCAACCGTAACCAAGTGATTGATGAAATGTAAGCAGTGCACATGGCCAGCCTGATAGAGAAATGCATTTCAACTTGTATTTAGCAGCTCACAGTCCAGCCTGGTGACTCAGCTGCCTGGTGAGTCATCGTTGGTTGCTATAGCAACTCACTCAGTCACAGCAAGCTTAACGGGGCTTTTATAAACAAACTGCTCCAACTTGCCAACTTCCCTGGTGGTTGCCATCTTCAACATCTTCGGACGCTTTCCCCCCCCTTCCAGTCCGGACGCTTCCCCCCCCCCCCTTCCAGTCCGGACGCTTTTCCCCCCCCCCCTTCCAGTCTGGACGCTTCCCCCCCCCCCCCCTTCCAGTCTGGACGCTTCCCCCCCCCCCTTCCAGTCCGGACGCTTCCCCCCCCCCCTTCCAGTCCGGACGCTTTCCCCCCCCCCCCTTCCAGTCCGGACGCTTTCCCCCCCCCCCCCTTTCCAGTCCGGACGCTTTCCCCCCCCCCTTCCAGTCCGGAAGCTTTTTCCTCCCCCCCCTTCCAGTCAGTCCGGAAGCTTTCCCCCCCCCCCCTTCCAGTCCGGAAGCTTTCCTCCCCCCCCCCCTTCCAGTCCGGAAGCTTTCCTCCCCCCCCCCCCCCCTTCCAGTCCGGAAGCTTTCCTCCCCCCCCCCCTTCCAGTCCGGAAGCTTTCCTCCCCCCCCCCCCTTCCAGTCCGGAAGCTTTCCTCCCCCCCCCCCCTTCCAGTCCGGAAGCTTTTCCTCCCCCCCCCCCCCCCTTCCAGTCCGGAAGCTTTCCTCCCCCCTTCCTGTCCAGGGCAATTTTCAGCTTTCAGCGCTATCACATTTTGAATGACAATTGCGCGGTGGTCATGCAAACACTGTACCAAATGAATTTTTTTACCATTTTTTTGAGACAGATAAAGCTTTATTTTGGTGGTATTTATTCACCCCTCGGATTTGTATTTTTTTTGCTATGTAAATGAAATGTCCAAAAATTTAAAAAAAAAGTTTTTTTTTAATAAAATTTTGCAAATAATATTTCATCATAAATCTTGGCCAAAATGTATTCCGTTTTTTTTCTTTTTAGTAAAAAAAAAAAAAATCCAAATTAGTTTATAACCAAAAATTATAATTTTTAAACATTTTTTTTTTTTACATTTTTATTTTATTTATATTATTTTTTATTTTTTTTTACATACTGTCACCCTAGCAGCACAGTGTTACCATGGTGACACTGTACTACTTGTGGGGGGTGATGAAGATTTTTTTTTTTTTTTTACACTGATTGCTTTTACACCCATATAGGATGTAAAAGCAATCATTTCTCTTTCTCTCTGTGTGCATTCCTGCACTCATTGAGAAGTACTGAGTGAGCTGTGATTGGTCACAGCTTGTCACATGGTACAAGGCTTTTGTGAATAGCCTTGTACCATGTGACCTCTGTGATCATTCACAGATTTCACACGTAGTAAGCAATGATGTCACAAGTGACATCTTGCTTACTACTTTGCATGTGATCACTGACTGGCCAATCAGTGATCACATGATCGGGACCTCGTACAGAGGTCCGTCCGACGATCGGTGTTTCACTGTGTCCGGAGGACACAGCGGGCACCGGATCGCGGTGCTGCGTGCTCCCAGGCAGCGCGCACAAGCAGGGTGCGGGGAGGCCGTTTATAAACGGCCACCCGACCCTGCAGTGCCACCGCCGGCCGTTTATATGTAACGGCCGGTCGGGAAGTGGTTAAAAGTATAAATGAGACTCGCAAGACATTTTGATGTATAGTATGTCTCTGAAATATTAAAAATGAAGGCAAAGTCGCAGTTTAAAAATGCCCCTTAAAATTTGAGGTGGCTAGAGTGGAGTTTCAATGAATGTCAATGGGCGGCGTGAGTTGCAAACAAATGGTCATATTGTGAAAACTATCAGGACTATGGCTTAGCCGTGGACATTTTTAGTGGCAGCCGGGATTGCTGAACGTTTTGATATAAGATATGTGTAGGGTAGGGGCTTGAAAATGAGGGGAGAGATGGCAGTTTACAAAATCATGTTCTGATTTTTCAGCTCACACTCTAGCTTTTGTCGGCTCCCACTCTAGTATTGAACATTCCGCCATTCATTCCTATGGGACCAATTTCACCACAAAAACGGCAATATTTCGTGAACCATTCGGGGAGGGGGAAACGTTCCACAAAGTGATAGCCCACCAATCGGGAACAATCCACGTTTACGTATATTACTGTCTATGTAGTGTAAACACTGTGGGAGGAGTTAGGGGGGTAAATTTGGCTATAATAATAAGAATGTATATGTGAGATAACCATGCAGGAACACCTAAAAAAGAGAGGCAGGGAACAACGCTCAACTTCCAAGTGTTCTGGAACGGGGCCTAGGCTCAGAGAAGTTTGTATTGCCCTTCAGTGTCACTTAGTGAGATCCTCACATCAGTATCATTGAACTTCCCAGAGAGATCCTCATTGTCAGTATCACTGAACTCCCCAAGGAGATCCTCCTATTGGCATCACTCCTGTCAGTAATCACTGAATTTCCCTCAGAGAGATCCTCACATCAGTATCAATGAACTCCCCCAGAGGAATCCTCACCTCGGTGGCACTGAAACGGCCCTAGAGAGATCCTAACCTGGTGTCCATTGAGCTTTCCCAACCTCTCCATCTACTCAGTACGCTCCGAGTCTTTATAAACCGCCCGAACTACCAAAATATCAACCTATGGAGAGTCAAATTTGAATTTAACTTTAAAATCTTTCTTTTGGCTTTTATGTTCACTTCCAAATCTTTCTGGCTCTATAAACCAACTAAAAACACAAATCATTCAGATTTAATCAACCCTGAGGTGGCAAAACCCATTTCCCAGAATCCTTTGCAACGATATGCAAATGAGCAGGTTCAGCCAGTAACATTCAAATCCTAACTGTCACCAGGGTGCCTATGAGAGCTCCCAACTGACTTTTCATGCCATAGCTGGACATGGGAGCAGGACCACGGCAACTGCCCATAAAATGACAGTTTTCTTACCTAGAAAGATCGGGGGGGGGGGGGGAGGGAGGGAGGGGGGGGGGGGGATTCTGCTGTAACAACTCATTACTAGAAAATCTACAATTTCTGGGGAAATTGTGTAAAGTGTTCTTGCCGCAACCTTTACCAAGTAATGATGACATGTAAGCAGTGCACATTGCAAGCCTGACAGAGGGAGAAATGCATTTCAGCTTGTATTTACCATCTCACAGTCCAGCCTGTGTGACTCAGCTGCGTGTGAGTCATGTTTGGTTGCTATAGCAACTCACTCTGTCAGGAATGTCATTAGCTGTGCTCTAAACAGGCTTTTTAAACTTGGCAAGTTCACTGGCGATTGCCATCTTCAAACGCTTGTAGTTTTAAAAGTATAAAAGCTACTGTGAAAAGGTTTATATTGTGACAATCACAAGAAAAATACCTACATTTTGATGTATAGTATGTCTCTGAAAGATAAAAAATGAAGGCACAGTCGCAGTTTAAAAACGTCCCTTAAAATGTCTGGTGTCTACAGTGGAGTTTCAATGAAAGTCAATGGGAGGGGTGATGTGCAAACAAATGGTCATATCCTGAAAACTATCAGGAGTATGTCCTAGCCGTGAACATTTTTAGTGGCAGCAGGGTTAGCTGAACGTTTTGATATAAGATATGTGTAGGTGGGCTTGAAAATGAAAGAGTGATGGCAGTTTACAAATCATGTTCTAATTTTTCTGATTTTTCCTTTGCACACTCTAGCTGTGCTGTGCTGCTCAATGCATTCCTATGGGAAAATTTCGCCACAAAAACCGCGATATTTCGTGAATGATTCGGCGAAACGTTCCACAAAGTAATAGCAATCCGATCGGGAACAATCCTACGTCTTTGTAGTGTAAAAACTGTGGGAGGAGTTAGCGTGGCAAATTTGCTATAATAATAAGAATAAGAACTAGAATATACTTGTGAGATAAC